TCTTCTCAATTCAAAGTCTGTTCACCTAGAAAGAAAGAGAGAGAGGGTTGTTAGAATCACCATGCGTTCATTACGTCTCATATCAATACATTTTCATAGTACACTTCACTGTACAGTGATATGAGATTGTTAGAAGTCTGGAATTCTAGAATATTCCAAATGGTCATCATTCTTTTTTTCTTTCTTTTCATTCATTCATCCCTATGTACCTCCCCCTTGCTGACCGGTGACTCCACCCAGCTCCTTACACAATCGCCAGTGCTGTTTGCCCTCCTGTGTGTGTGTGTTGCCTTACTGTACGACTGTATCCTGCTGATTCAGTCTCTTCTCACTCCATTAACTCATCAATCAGTAACTACACCTCCCCTCGCACTATCCATTCATCCATCCATCCATCCATCCCCGCCTCCTCCTTGCCTTCCTTTCAAACTCCATCCATCCTTCTTTTCATCTCAATACTTATTTCTGCATTTTGATGTAAATTACATCATTCATGGGCATTCTGTATGTCTATGGTCTATCCTGTGTGCCATTCTGTTTCTGCTCTACTGCTAACCCCTTATGGAATTGTCATGTTAAAACAGTTTAGCTTGACAATGTCGATGGACTAGGCAGAAGCACAAATAGATCTGGGACCAGCCTGTAATAATACCACTTAGAATGTAGCATGAATCAGCATTAGAATGAAGCAATGTATACTACAAACAGATCTGGGACCAGCCTGTAATAATACCACTTAGAATGTAGCATGAATCAGCATTAGAATGAAGCAATGTAATGTATACCACCAGGCAACTATTAGTAGCAACTCATTCAATATACACCGCCTGATCCAGTACTTTGCACGTGCTCAGTCACTCCCAACCCACTCCCCCTCCATCCATCCATCCATCCACCACATTAGGTTGAACACACAAGCAGGTGCGAGTAGGCTATACATGGCGTGTGTGTGTGTGCGATCAGCAATCACCATCACTTCACACATATAGAGATTTCGATAAATAGAGGTCATATGTGCACCAACAGGTGCAAAAAAAGCAAAGCAGTAAAATATAAAACAATGAATTCTATTTAATCTGGCTATTCCACCAGAGGCGTCATGCACCCCTGAAATCTGAAGGGGCACAAAGAACACTACCGGTTTTAGAACACCTACTTATTCAAGGGTTTTTCTTTATTTTTACTATTTTCTACATTGTAGAATAATAGTGAAGACATCAAAACTATGAAATAACACATATGGAATCATGTAGTAACCAGAAAAGTGTTAAACAAATCAAAATATATTTTATATTTGAGATTCTTCAAATAGCCACCCTTTGCCTTGATGACAGCTTTGCACACTCTTGGCTTTCTCTCAACCAGCTTCACCTGGAATGCTTTTCCAACAGTCTTGAAAGAGTTCCCACATATGCTGAGCACTTGTTGGCTGCTTTTCCTTCACTCTGCGGTCCGACTCATCCCAAACCATCTCAATTTGGTTGAGGTCGGGGGATTGTGGAGGCCAGGTCATCTGATGGAGTACTCCATCACTCTCCTTCTTGGTAAAATAGCCCTTACACAGCCTGGAGGTGTGTTGGGTCATTGTCCTGTTGAAAAACAAATGATAGTCCCACTAAGCCCAAACCAGATGGGATGGCGTATCGCTGCAGAATGCTGTGGTAGCCATGCAGGTTAAATCACAGACAGTGTCACCAGCAAAGCCCCCCCTACACCATAACACCTCCTCCTCCATGCTTTACGGTGGGAAATACACATGCGGAGATCATCCGTTCACCCACATCGCCTCTCACAAAGACATGGCGGTTGGAACCAAAAATCTCAAATTTGGACTCCAGACGAAAGGACACATTTCCACCGGTCTAATGGCCATTACTCGTGTTTCTTGGCCCAAGCAAGTCTCTTCTTCTTATTCGTGTCCTTTAGTAGTGGTTTCTTTGCAGCAATTCGACCAGGAAGGCCTGATTCACGCAGTCTCCTCTGAAAAGTTGATGTTGAGATGTGTCTGTTACTTTAACTTTTATTTATTTATTTACTTGAGCATTTATTTGGGCTGCAATTTCTGAGGCGGGTAACTCTAATGAACGTATCCTCTGCAGCAGAGGTAACTCTGGGTCTTCCATTCCTGTCGCAGTCCTCATGAGAGCCAGTTTCATCATAGCACTTGATGGTTTTTGCGAATGCACTTTTTCCGGATTGACTGACCTTAATCTTTTAAAGTAATGATGGACTGTCGTTTCTCTTTGCTTATTTGAGCTGTTCTTGCCATAATATGGACTTGGTCTTTTACCAAATAGGGCTATCTTCTGTATACCCCCCCCCCCCCCCCTGTATACCCCCACTACATTAAGAAGTAAATACATTCCACAAATTAACTTTTAAGAAGGCACACCTGTTAATTGAAATGCATTTCAGGGGACTACCTCATGAAGCTGGTTGAGAGAATGCCAAGAGTCTGCAAAGCTGTCATCAAGGCAAAGGGTGGCTATTTGAAGAATCTCAAATATAAAATATATTTTGATTTGTTTAACACTTTTTTGGTTACTACATGATTCCATATGTGTTATTTCATAGTTTTGATGTCTTCACTATTATTCTACAATGTAGAAAATAGTACAAACAAAGAAAAACCCTTGAATGAGTAGGTGTTCTAAAACATTTGACCGGTACTGTACATGGGCAAGGTTTAAATAATGCTACATAACTGAAGTTCTAGAATTAGAACAATATTCACATTTCTAAAAGTTGGCCCAACTCTCTCTATATATGGCTCTGGAATAGATCATGACTAAATTGCATCGTCTCGGTTGTACTATGTGTGTCATGTCTGGACCCTGGTTGCCATAGAAAAGTATGGCACATAGAGAGAGTGGCAATACATGAAACTGTAATAAATGTATACATGTAACCGTAAACAAAACATAAATACTTTAATCTCTGCAATTGGTTAGCGTAGTGGGCGACATAAGGACTTACCTGTTGATGCGATGTTCACTTCTGTGCAAAGCTTCCTCTATCCCTGTTTTCCAAGTCAGAAAACAGAGAAAATGAAACCCCCAATTTGATCTATGTTCAAGAAACCAAGGAGAGAACAGGAGAATATATATATATGGACAAAATGACCAACGAAGAAACTCCTTGGAAAGTATCTCTCTCTTTTCCTCCTTTTCTCTTTCTTTATATGATGAGTCACCTTCAGTCGTTCAGTCTCTATCTCCTTTTTTCGGTCTACCTGTTTTTGGCTCCTCTAACTAAAACATCCCTTTCTTTGTGTCTCAGGCTGTGTGACACAGTCCCCCCCCCCCCCCCCCCCCCCCCCCCCCTCCTCCCTCCTTCTCTCCCTCCCTCCTTCTCTCTCCCTCCCTCCTCTCTCCCCTCTCTCTCATCCTATCCCTCTATCACTCCCTCCTTTCTCCTGTCCCTCCCTCCCTCCCATTTTGCTGATCTAGACATTTGGCTAAGGCAAACTCTGACCAGGGCAAATCCCACACACACACACACACACACACACAAGCACACACACACACACACACACACACACACACACAGACACACACCTCCCAACACTCAGGCAATGTATACAATTTACATCCATGCTAAATACATTATGCAAATACATTATGCTACTTACTTAATTCATCTATAGATACAGCTACATGCAAAATAGCACTAGCACACCTACATATGTAGCATTGCCAACCTGTTTATTCAATACAAAATGATTGAAGAATAGAACATCAAAAGGAAGTGACGTCAAACTCACTCCCGTGACGACGTGTAAATGCATGTAAACAGCACACAATCCCAACACTCCCTGTGTGTGTGTGTGTGTGTATATATCTGTGTGTGTGTGTGTGTGTGTGTGTGTTACTCCCTTGCAGAACTGTTTTATGACAACAGCCCCAAACAGGCGAGGCTTGCTCAGGGACCTTGTCGGTCGGCTGATCAGTATGGAGGACTAAAAGTGCCACAATTAAATAAATAAATACACCATTAAATAATTACTTAAATGTGTCATTAATTAATTCAAATTAGAATTAAATACATAAATGTGTAATTAAATGTATCATTAATTAATTCAAATACCGATTCATTTTATGTAAAATACATATATAATTATTTCACTATTTACATTTACATTTCATGATCCTGCATTGCAGTGATTCATGAATTACTTAAAACTGTCAAACTGACCCATCAAAGTCAGTGGGCGGGGCTAACGCGAATCTAGTCTGATCCATTGCTTTGGTCTGAAGTAGAGTAGGCCAACCTGGATAGAGACAATGGAGGATCTCCGTGAACTTTCCAGGGAGTTGGTTAGAGACATTTTAAACTTAGCAGAGGATGTAGAAGCAGGACCTGCTGACATTATCCGGAATTGATTTGTCTTGGCTTGATGCAGAGGGTAACCAATCAGGCGTTAGGTTCCGCCTACCAACTTTTGATGGGTCAGTTTGACAGTTTTAAGTAATTCAGGAAGCACTCCAACGCAGGACCATGAAATGTAAATGTAAATAGTGAAATTATTATATATGTATTTTACATAAAATGAATCGGTATTTGAATTAATTAATGACACATTTAATAACACATTTATGTATTTAATTCTAATTTGAATTAATTAATGACACATTTAAGTAATTATTTAATGGTGTATTTATTTATTTAATTGTGGCACTTTTAGTCCTCCATAGATCGGTAGACATTTTTGTCATTACAGCATTATGAATGCAGGCTGATATAATACTCAATTTATATTCCCCTCTTTCAATAGCCAAGTCATTGAGTTGAGCTGCGCTCACGTTACTGTGTGTGTCTGTTTGGTTAGTAATGTCCCTTTCTATGACTGACTCATTTGACGATCATCATACATACATACATACATACATACATACATACATACATACATACATACATACATACATACATACATACATACATACATTAAAACATGCAGGAGATAGAACTGAAGACAATGAAATGTGTCCAAACAACAAGAATAAAAACAATCTGTAACACTTTATTTGAACTCTACGTCATAACACTCAGTGACAAGAAAATCCTATGATATTATTATGATGCAATCAGAATCACCTTTATTCAATGTATATGATGCATTGTTCGAATAATGTGCTACCAAACAATCATTACATTTCAATATATGGATGACGATGATATTAGAGCTAGATCGATCCATGGGCAGCAGTAGCAGTTTATTAATCCCTTATAATATTACAGTTATTTCCCCCTAAAACACTACAACACTAACAGTCCAGATAACTGTCCAGACATACACATTTGATTTCCCGCAAAAAAACACAGAGGGCAAACAAAACTGGTTGATGTGATGTCATAATGAATGTAAAACTGGGTGTAATCATGTCATTTCAACCAGTTTTGCTCACTGGGTATAAAATAAAAACAAAACGCTGTGCAATTCAATCAAAAAGTATTTAGGAGTGATGCAGTCTCTTCAGAGTGATTTGACTCATCCTTTCATTTGAAGAAGAGTGTCTAATCCGACATCGATTAATTGTGACATCACCGACACCGGGATTCAATTTGATGTGATGACGACTCACCATAGATTTAGAATGATTAGAAGGATTCTATGGTTACGGGACTTCTCATAGAGATAGAACCCTAGAGAGGAATTTCTAGTTCCAAATCCGTGACACAAACTGTCCCCCCACCTTGCCTGGGACTGGGTCAGAGTGATGTCATACCCTGTACCTCCAGCAGCATGGCGTCCTGTTCCGTCCTCAGCTGGTCCCGAGTCTGGAGGTCAACCACCAGCTCTGTGCTCAGGTCTGATGGGATATATACACACACAGGCACACACACACACGCACACACACACAGGCACACACTCAGGCACACACACACAGGCACACACACACACACACACAGGCACACACAAAATGTAAGGTCAAAGGCAGAGTTTTACAGATCATTTGACAAAGGTGAAATCAATGTAAAATAATGAGGTTGGTATAACTTCTAAATGAAAAAGGTGAAATATACTATATCTATTAAATATAATGTAACCTGTATCTAAAATGGAAGTATATCCAGTGTATTAGCTGAGTGACCCTCACCTTGTATTGCCTTATTGAGGGAGTTTCTGTGAGTGTTGAGTTCTTTGAGACTGAAGGCCTGCAGGTCTCTACAGTCTAGCTTTCCATTCTTCAACAGTTGATCACCACACGCTAGACTCTGAGACACAGGGGACAAGCTGAAGGGCAGAATAACTGGCTAGACTCTGGGAGACACAGGGGACAAGCTGAAGGGCAGAATAACTGGCTAGACTGGGAGACACAGGGGACAAGCTGAAGGGCAGAATAACTGGCTAGACTCTGAGACACAGGGGACAAGCTGAAGGGCAGAATAACTGGCTAGACTGGAGACACAGGGGACAAGCTGAAGGCAGAATAACTGGCTAGACTGGGAGACACAGGGGACAAGCTGAAGGGCAGAATAACTGGCTAGACTGGGAGACACAGGGGACAAGCTGAAGGGCAGAATAACTGGCTAGACTGGGAGACACAGGGGACAAGCTGAAGGGCAGAATAACTGACTAGACTGGGAGACACAGGGACAAGCTGAAGGGCAGAATAACTGGCTAGACTGGGAGACACAGGGGACAAGCTGAAGGGCAGAATAACTGGCTAGACTGGGAGACACAGGGGACAAGCTGAAGGGCAGAATAACTGGCTAGACTGGGAGACACAGGGGACAAGCTGAAGGGCAGAATAACTGACTAGACTGGGAGACACAGGGGACAAGCTGAAGGGCAGAATAACTGGCTAGACTCTGAGACACAGGGGACAAGCTGAAGGGCAGAATAACTGACTAGACTGGGAGACACAGGGGACAAGCTGAAGGGCAGAATAACTGACTAGACTGGGAGACACAGGGGACAAGCTGAAGGGCAGAATAACTGGCTAGACTGGGAGACACAGGGGACAAGCTGAAGGGCAGAATAACTGGCTAGACTCTGAGACACAGGGGACAAGCTGAAGGGCAGAATATAAGATAACTGAGGATAAAACCTAAGAACCAAAGACTGTGGGCCTCGAGGACAGTACGTTCAGCCCCTAGTCCCTCCTTCCTAACCACTCCTGTAGATCTCAAGGGTTGTATCAGAAGGCAAGGGGAAGCAAGCGCCATATTGCTTAAACCTATTCTCTCTCTCACCTCCTGTTTCTGCTCCATCCTCAGCCTGTTTTTGAGGGCACTCAGTGCAGCCTTGAAGCCTGATGATTTGCTTTTGGTGGCAGCCGGGGACTGGGGCTGATGGGGCACCTGCACGCTGGAACCATTGGAACCATTCTTTACCACCATTTTGGAATTCTGGAGTGGCCAAAACAAGATGGTGACAGGGCTTTAAATAAAACAGTTATACTTTCCAGTCCCTCTTTCTTTCCTTTCTGATTTATATGAGCTGTAGCACTCTACCTATGGCTGACCTTACCTTTGCGCAAATCGTTTCCCCAGAATCCTCCTCCTCTTCTTCGCTCCCACTGTCATTGATGAAGCACAGCTGGAGGTTCATCTGATTTGAAAGACTGAGGAGAACAAACAATTTTTTGTTTTTGTTAGAATCATGAACAAATCCCACTTGTGACCCCAGTGTGATGAAACGAAGGGAGAAGCGTAAAGGTCTGAGGCGAGAAGCAAACTCACAACCTTGTGGTCAAGAATCGGTCTAGACTTAGTTTTCGTTTATTAATTCAACCATTAAAAAAAAAACTATTCAAAGACAATACCAGATGCTCTCAGAAAGCTAGCTCCCTAAGGGGAGTGGTCATCATGTTTATCAATGCCAGGGTCATTGCATTACTATCTGGCTGGTTACTGTACTTTTACTATAGTTTAACAACACTATCATAACATTATGTTTGGTAGACAACGCCATGCTTCGTACCGAGAGGTCAGGGCTGTCACGCGGCTATTGCAGTCCTCCGCCTCTCCTCCATCCTCCCAGTTCTCTTTACTCTCCCCTCCATCCCTCTCTAGCGGCCGGCTCTCTAACAACTTCTTCCCTCGTTCCAGGACACTGGAAGACTGGAGATGAATCAGATATAGGAAGCACAAAGTTAGACAGAGCGAGATATGGAGGGTATCCCTTGTATGTAAACGCTAACTTTAGTTACTAACTATTGTATATGGTGTCTTTCAACCAGAGATGTAGTGTAGGGTCAACTCACGTAAACGCCGTTTAAGCACCTTTTGTGTTTAGCCAACTATTTTCAATTTCAGAAATATGCATTAAACGTAAAGGGAGCGTTACTTTATTCACTGCGACCAGCGACCACCGATCAGTGTTTACCCATGTTTTTTTAATTTAAAACTACTACATCACTGCTTTCAACGCAAAACTAGCCACTTAACAGAGCACTTGACTTGATAACATTCCATTAATGGAAACATTTGTTTTTGTAACGCTGTTTCACTGATATAATTTATATAGCACACTTCCCTCCAACAAACATTTCACAGGCCTAAACTGCATCACCTGTCCCCATCCAAACCCTGACCCTCTCCTTCTCCCTCCTCATCCCACTCTGCTCTCTTTGTCCCCATCTCCTCTACCTGTCCAAAAACACCTGTCCCCATCTCCTCTACCTGTCCAAAAACACATGTCCCCATCTCCTCTACCTGTCCAAAAACACTGTCCCCATCTCCTCTACCTGTCCAAAAACACCTGTCCCATCTCCTACCTTCACCTGTCCCCATCTCCTCTACCTGTCCAAAAACAACCTGTCCCCATCTCCTCTACCTGTCCAAAAACACCTGTCCACCATCTCTCTCTACCTGTCCAAAACACACTGTCCCCATCTCCTCTACCTGTCCAAAAACACCTGTCCCCATCTCCTCTACCTGTCCAAAAACACCTGTCCCCATCTCCTCTACCTGTCCAAAAACACCTGTCCCCATCTCCTCTACCTGTCCAAAAACACCTGTCCCCATCTCCTCTACCTGTCCAAAAACACTGTCCCCATCCATAACTAACAGACAGCATTCAACTGTAACCCCTGACACACACACCTTTGTCTTCTTCTCTCTCTTTTCCTCTTCCTGTTTCTCCAGCTCGTCGATGCGCAGGCTCAGCGCCTCCCAGTGCATTATGGGTAGACCCAGGTCATCCTCTCCGTACGAGCCCTCCTGCCACACCAACGCTGCTCCCTCTGCATCTTCATCCTCCTCCTCCTCTTCATCATCTTCCTCAGTCTCGTCGCTCTCTTTCTCCTCTCCCCGCTCCCTCTCTCTCTCCTTCTCTCCCTCCATCTCTTGTGTCAGTAGGACAGCGTACCAAGGTGGGTAGATTTCACGCTGCTCTGGGGAGGAGGGCGGTTCTGTTTGTATAACAGAAAGACTAAATAGTTGTTTATTAACACTTTATAACAAGTTATAAACAAATATATGAACCTACTGTTATAACACTACTTGGTGTTAGGCCTACTACTTCAACATTATGATATACAAGGAGACAATTTGACTTTGAAGAAGCTATCAACAATATTCGAAGGAAGATATTTTAGGATGACTTGAAGTTGGAGTGACGACAGAGGAGAGACTTGGTACGTTTGTTTTTAAATGGACATGGAACATCCTGAATCCTTGGAAAACTAATATCAAGACTTAAAATGTAATAATGGTACCATGTTAACAGTGTCTATCATGTGGCAACAGTCTATCAAAGTAGCACTCACTGTCATCATTAAGTGCTTTGAGAGGCTAGTTAAGGATCATATCACCTCTACCTCACCTGACACCCTAGACCCACTGCAATTTGCATACCGCCCCAATAGATCCACGGATTATGCAATCACCATCGCACTGCACACTGCCCTAGCCCATCAGGACAAGAGGAATACCTACGTCAGAATGCTGTTCATTGACTACAGCTCAGCCTTCAACACCATAGTGCCCTCCAAGCTCATCATTAAGCTTGGGGCCCTGGGTCTGAACCACGTCCTGTACAACTGGATCCTGGACTTCCTGACGGGCCGCCCCCAGGTGGTGAAGGTAGGCAACAACATCTCCACTACGCTGATCCTCAACACTGGGGCCCCACAGGGGTGCTTGCACAGCCCCCTCCTGTACTCCCTGTTCACCCATGACTGCATGGCCAAGCACGCCTCCAACTCAATCATCAAGTTTGCAGACAACACAAAAGTGGTAGGCCTGATTACCAACAATGACTAGACAGCCTACAGGGAGGAGGTGAGGGCCCTGGCGGAGTGGTGCCAGGAAAATAACCTCTCCCTCAACATCAACAAAATGAAGGAGCTGATCGTGGACTTCAGGAGACAGCAGAGGGAGCACGCCCCCATCCACATCAACGGGACCACAGTGCAGACGGTGAAAAACGTCAAGTTCCTTGGCGTACACATCACTGACAATCTGAAATGGTTCACCCACACAGACAGTGTGGTGAAGCGCATCTTCAACCTCAGGAGGCTGAAGAAATTTGGCTTGGCCCCTAAGACCCTCACAAACATTTACAGATGCACCATTGAGAGCATCCTGTCGGGCTGTATCACCGCCTGGTACGACAACTGCACTGTCCGCAACCGCAGGGCTCTCCAGAGGGTGGTGCGGTCTGCCCAACGCATCACCGGGGGCACACTGCCTGCCCTCCAGGACATCTACAGCACCCGATGTCACAGGAAGGCCAAAAAGATCATCAAGGAACTCAGCCACCCGAGCCACAGCCTGTTCACCACGAGATCATCCAGAAGGTGAGGTCAGTACAGGTGCATCAAAGCTGGTACAGAGAGACTGGAAAACAGCTTCTATCTCAAGGCCATCAGACTGTTAAATAGCCATCACTAGCCGGCTACCACCCAGTACCCTTCCCTTAACTTAGTCACTGTCACTAGTCGGCTACCACACGGTTAATCAACCCTGCACCTTAGAGGCTGTTGCCCTGTGTACATAGACATGGAACACTGGTCACTTTAATAATGAAACACTGGTCACTTTAATAATGTTTACATACAGTTTTAACCATTTCATATGTACAGTGCATTCGGAAAGTATTCAGACCCCTTTACTTTTTCCACATTTTGTTACGTTACAGCCTTATTCTAAAATTGATGAAATTGTTTTTTTCCCCTCATCAATCTACACACAATTCCCCATAATGACGAAGCAAAAACGGGTTTTTAGAAATTGTAGCAAATTGATTTTTTTCAATTACTCAAATATCAGGTATTCAGACCCTTTACTCAGTACTTTGTTGAAGCACCTTGGCAGCGATTACAGCCTCAATACTTCTTGAGTATGACGCTACAAGCTTGGAAGACCTGTATTTGGGGAGTTTCTCCCATTGTTCTCTGCAGATCCTCTCAAGCTCTGTCAGATTGGATGGGAAGTGTTAGTGCACAGCTTTTTTCAGGTCTATCCAGAGATGTTCGATCGGGTTCAAGTCTGGGCTCTGGCTGGGCCACTCAAGGACATTCAGAGACTTCTCCCGAAGCCACTCCTGCGTTGTCGTGGCTGTGTGCTTAGGGTTGTTGTTCTGTTGGAAGGTGAACCTTCGCCCCAGTCTGCGGTCCTGAGCGCTCTGGAGCAGGTTTTCATCAAGGATCTCTCTGTACTTTGCTATGTTTATCTTTCCCACGATCCTGACTAGTCTTCCAGTCCCTGCCGCTGAAAAACATCCCCACAGCATGATGCTGCCACCACCATCCTTCACCGTAGGGATGGTACCAGGTTTCCTCCAGATGTGATACTTGGCATTCAGGCAAGTTTCATCAGTCCAGAGAATCTCGTTTCTCATGGTCAAAGTCTTTAGGTACCTTTTGGCAAACTCCATGCGGGCTGTCATGTGCCTTTAACTGAGGAGTGGCTTCCGTCTGGCCACCCTACCATAAAGGCCTGATTGGTGGAGTGCTGCAGAGATGGTTGTCCTTCTGGAAGATTCTCCCATCTCCACAGAGGAACTCTAGAGCTCTATCGGAGTGACCATCGGGTTCTTGGTCACCTCCCTGACCAAGGCCCTTCTCCCCCAATTGCTCAGTTTGGCGGGAGGCCAGCTCCAGGAAGAGTCTTGGTGGTTCCAAACTTCTTCCATTTAAGAATGATGGAGGCCACTGTGTTCTTGAGGACCTTCAATGCTGCAGACATTTCTAAAAACCTGTTTTCGCTTTCTCATTATGGTGTATTGTGTGTAGATTACTAAGGATTTGTATTTATTTAATCAATTTTAGAATAAGGCTGTAACGTAACAAAATATTGTAAAAAGTCAAGGTGTCTGAATACTTTCCTGAAGGGGCTGTTTTTCTGCTTTGGGGGAGAAAAACAGCCCCAAAGCATGATGTTTCCACCCCCATGCTTCACAGTAGGTATGGTGTTCTTTGGATGCAACTCTGCATTCTTTGTCCTCCAAACACGACGAGTTGAGTTTTTACCAAAAAGTTATATTTTGGTTTCATCTGACCATATGACATTCTCCCAATCCTCTTCTGGATCATCCAAATGCACTAGCAAACTTCAGACGGGCCTGGACATGTACTGGCTTAAGCAGGGGGACACGTCTGGCACTGCAGGATTTGAGTCCCTGGCGGCGTAGTGTGTTACTGATGGTAGGCTTTGTTACTTTGGTCCCAGCTCTCTGCAGGTCATTCACTAGGTCCCCCCGTGTGGTTCTGGGATTTTTGCTCACCGTTCTTGTGATCATTTTGACCCCACAGGGTGAGATCTTGCATGGAGCCCCAGATCGATGGAGATTATCAGTGGTCTTGTATGTCTTCCATTTCCTAATAATTGCTCCAACAGTTGATTTCTTCAAACCAAGCTGCTAACCTATTGCAGATTCAGTCTTCCCAGCCTGGTGCAGGTCTACAATTTTGTTTCTGGTGTCCTTTGACAGCACTTTGGTCCTGGCCATAGTGGAGTTTGGAGTGTGACTGTTTGAGGTTGTGGACAGGTGTCTTTTATACTGATAACAAGTTCAAACAGGTGCCATTAATACAGGTAACGAGTGGAGGACAGAGGAGCCTCTTAAAGAAGAAGTTACAGGTCTGTGAGAGCCAGAAATCTTGCTTGTTTGTAGGTGACCAAATACTTATTTTCCACCATAATTTGCAAATAAATTCATAAAAAATCCTACAATGTGATTTTCTGGATTTTTTTTCCTCAATTTGTCTTTCATAGTTGACGTGTACCTATGATGAAAATTACAGGCCTCTCTCATCTTTTTAAGTGGGAGAACTTGAACAATTAGTGGCTGACTAAATACTTTTTTCCCCCACTGTACATACATATACAGTACCAGTCAAAAGTTTGGACACACCTACTCATTCAAGGGTTTTTCTTAATTTTTACTATTTTCTACATTGTAGAATAATAGTGGAGACATCAAAACAATGAAATAACACATATGGAATCATGTAGTAACCAAAAAAGTGTTAAACAAATCAAAATATATTTTATATTTGAGATTCTTCAAATAGCCACCCTTTGCCTTGATGACAGTTTTTCACACTCTTGGCATTCTCTCAACCAGCTTCACCTGGAATGCTTTTCCAACAGTCTTGAAGGAGTTCCCACATATGCTGAGCACTTGTTGGCTGCTTTTCCTTCACTCTGCGGTCCAACTCATCCCAAGCCATCTCAATTGGGTTGAGGTCAGGTGATTGTGGAGGCCAGGTCATCTGATGCAGCACTCCATCACTCTCCTTCTTGGTCAAATAGCCCTTACACAGCCTGGAGGTGTGTTGGGTCATTGTCCTGTTGAAAAACAAATGATAGTCCCACTAAGCCCAAACCAGATGGGATGGTGTATCGCTGCAGAATGCTGTGGTAGCCATGCTGGTTAAGTGTGCCTTGAATTCTAAATAAATCACTGACAGTGTCACCAGCAAAGCACTCCCACACCATCACACCTCCTCCTCCATGCTTCACGGTGGGAACCACACATGCAGAGACCATCCGTTCATCTACTCTGCGTCTCACAAAGACACAGCGGTTGGAACCAAAAATCTCAAATATGGACTCATCAGACCAAAGGACAGATTTCCACCGGTCTAATGTCCATTGCTCGTGTTTCTTGGCCCAAGCAAGTCTCTTCTTCTTATTGGTATCCTTTAGTAGTGGTTTCTTTGCAGCAATTCGACCATGAAGGCCTGATTCACGTAGTCTCCTCTGAACAGTTGTTGTTGAGATGTGTCTGTTACTTGAACTGTGAAGCATTTATTTGGGCTGCAATTTCTGAGGCTGGAAACTCTAATGAACTTATCCTCTACAGCAGAGGTAACTCTGGGTCTTCCATTCCTGTG